GAAAATTAAAGAATTAACAAACTTCACCACTCAGTCACTGGCAGTATTGAAAAAAAACAAGAGAGGCCCCTGTAATGCCAACATCACAGAGGAGCAGAGTACACTCTCTGCAGGCAAGCTGGCTCCCAAAGAAATAGAAGACGAAAGATGGAATTGAACTACTAGACAAACCTATGTTTCTCTCCCAAAAGCACCAAGAAGATAAGTGCAGGGGCAAAGAGATCTCCCTCTATGCTGAAGAAAACCTCAGCAGAGAAGACTAAGTGTTCTCCCTTAACACAATTCTTGGATTCATTTTTTGTAAAAAAAAAAAAAAGAGACTAATGGTTACCAGTGATTCTTAAAGGTGGTCCATTGACCTTTGAAGGTCCTGGTGATCCTTTTGGGGGCTCTGAAAAAAGTGAAAAATAGAACTAAGATGTTATTTGCCATTTTCACTATGCTGACATTTGCACTGATGGTTTAAACACAATGGTGGTAAAACCGTTAGACACCTTAGCATGAATCAAGGTAATGGCATCAAAGTGTACTCACAGTAAAAAATTTTGCCACTTTCATGTAAGAATATCCTTGATGAAACAATAATTAATTTAATTAAATCTGACCCTTCAGTGGACATGATTTTAATATGTGATGAAATGGGAAGTATATAAAAAGTACTTCTGGGCCAGGTGCGGTGGCTCATGCCTGTAATCCTAACTCTCTGGGAGGCCGATGCGGGCGGATTGTTTGAGCTCAGGAGTTCAAAACCAGCCTGAGCAAGAGCGAGACCCTGTCTCTACTAAAAAAAATAGAAAGAAATTAATCAGACAACTAAAAATATATAGAAAAAACTAGCCATGCATGGCGCATGCCTGTAGTCCCAGCTACCTGGGAGGCTGAGGCAGGAGGATCGCTTGAGCCCAGGAGTTTGAGGTTGCTGTGAGCTAAGATGACGCCACGGCACTCTAGCCCGGGTAACACAGTGAGACTCTGTCTCAAAAAAAAAAAAAAAAAAAGTACTTCTGCTGCATAGCAAAGTATAATGATTTTCTCAAGGAAAGGTAGTTCTGTGATTGAACTGCAAGCTGAAGTAGCTGTTGTTTTCAGGGAACAGCATTTTTACTTAAAAGAATGACAAAAAAATACTGAGACTTAAGTATTTAGCAGTCATTTTCTCAAAGTCTGAGAAAACAACTGTTTATAGCTAATGATAAAAATCAAGTTTTTTATCTTACTCAAAATGAAGCAGAAATTAAAATTTTAGAAAATTTCTTTCTACCTCTGTGAGTCTGAGCTTTCCAATACTCAGACTTGCCCTAATGAGACCGGTGGTGATGTTAAAAAATGTGATTTTTTGATATTAAGTAATGAAATGTGTCAACATTTAGAAAGTCTACATAACTAAGTAAACCAGTATTTTCCAAATGATCAACACATGATGGTACAAGATTAAGCATGAGTAAAAGATCCATTCAAAGTGCATGATTCACCGATGGATCTTAGTGTAACAGAGAACAAAAAGATCATTGAACAGGAAAAAGATAAGTGGTTGCCATGCGTTGAGGAGAGGGAGGGATAAATAGGCAGAACATAGAATTTTTAATGTAAACTATTCTGTATGATACTATACTAGTAGATATCTGGTATTATACATTTGTCAAAACCCACAGAATGACCAAGAGTGAACTCTAATGTGAACTATGAAACTCTAATGTGAACTATGAAAGTTGAGTGATAATGACATGTCAAGGCAGGTTCATCAGCTGTAACAAATGTACCACTATGGCATGAGATGTTCATAGCAGGTGAGGTTGTGCAAGTATGGGAACAGGAGGCATATAGGAACTCTGTACTTTCCACTCAATTTTGCAGTAAACCTAAAACTGCTATAAAAAATAAAATTTGTTAATTAAAAAAAGATCATTGATATGATTTTTTTGTGTGTAGCATCAAACAGAATATCCTCAATTATCTGAAAAATTCTTCTTTTTCCAAATACATACCTCTAAGAGGCTGAATTTTCTTTATATACAAGGTACTTCCACTTAAAATACATACCACAACAGATTAGATGCAGAAGCAGACGTGAGAACCAGTTGCCTTCTATTAAGCCAGATTTAAAGAGGTTTGCTAAAATGTAAAACAATGCCACTCCTTTCTTACTTTTCATAAATGTTCCATTAACATATATTTACTGTATTTTTACTGAGTATTTTTAAAATTTAATTTCTAACATAGTAAATATCAAAATATGCAACACACATAAACACAAACTCTCTGGGCTCCTAAATAATTTTTAGAATTATAAAAGGGACTCTGAGACCAAAAGGTTTAAGAACTGCTACCATGTACCCATAGGTTTATTTTACATATAGCAGGGAATATTCATTGAAATGTTACACTTACAGAAAAAATTTAGGTCTGTCTTCAAAGCTGACAGTCAGTTGTCCTTTGACTTATGGAATAGCAATCAACAAGTAAAGGGTCTCTTGGGTTGTTAGTGTGGAGCAGAAGAGTGAACTCTATTCAGCTCCAGGACTTGAGCTCCTTTGAGAGAGAATGTGAGAAACAAACAAGAAGCCTAACAAATGATTACACGATTCCTCCCATTTAGATTAAGAGAGTGAAGAAAGAGGGATATGTTATTTGCAAACACAAGAAAGAAAGTAGAAAACTGAAGTGTGGTTTAGCAAGAGATAAAAAATGTAAATGTTCTGGAGCCACTGCCACCTGAACTATATACAGTTCACAGTCCAGCACTTGTTATCTCTAGCAAATCTACATGGTTCCAACTGAGACTCAATTTCCACATTTATATTATACTATAAAAAAGGGATAATATGTCTCCTAGGGTTTTAAGGGTTAAATAAAGCAATAAACAAACCCTACAAAGCACCTGACATCTCTTTGATAAACAAAACGAACATCTTTTATGACACTGTGATTATTATTGTCAGGAGGGCAAAAAGGATAAAAGACTAAAAAACCCTAATCTCAAACTAGGTACGTGAGAGAATTTGGCAAGTAGATAAAGTATAAATCACATTACCATTTACTTATATTTTATGCAGTATTTTTACTGAATATGGAAAACACATTAGTCCTCCTATGTTATTAAAACTGACTAGCTGACTAAACCAAATAAGATTAAACTCTTAAATAAATAGAACTCAAATCGCAAGTTATTTTAGTTATCCTAGATGGCAGCCCATGCAATTTTTTAAAATATTAAATAGGACAGATTGTTCAAAAAGCAAAAGGAAAGGAGTTAGGGAGACCTGTGTTCAAATTTTACTTTGTAGAGTTGCTGACAGGATCAGAACTAATGTGCTTTAAAGTATCTAGCACCTTGTATTACTTTGCTGGAACAAAGGCCGCCATAACAAAGTACCAAAGACTAGGTGGTTCGAACAACAGAAATTTATTTTCTCACTGTTTTAGTGGCTAGAAGTGCAAGATCAAGGTGTTGGCAGGTTTGGTTTCTACTAAAGCCTCTCTCCTTTGGTTTCTAGGTGGCCATCTTTCTCAGGTGTCTTCACATGGTTGCCCTTATGTGTCTATATCCTGATCTCCTCTTCTTAGAAGGACAACAGTCATGATTAAGGGTTACCCATATGATCTCATTTCACCTTAACTGCCTCTTTAAAAGCCCTATTTCCAAAAACATGCACATTCTAAGTTACTGGGGATTAGGACTTCAACATATACATTTTGGAGCTATGAGCTTATAACACATCTCAGTTGTTTACAGCATCTAGCACTGTACCTGGCACACAGTGGATCCTCAATATGGGTGCTATTACTAAGAAAGAAAGAAAAAAGAGGCCTGGCACGGCGGCTCACACCTATAACTCCAGCACTTTGGGAGGCCTAGGCAAGAGGACCACTTGAGGCCATGAGTTTGAGACCAGCCTGGGCAACATAACAAGACCCTATCTCTACAAAAATTTTTAAAAATTAGCTGGGTGTGGTGGTATATACCTGTAGTCCTAGCTACTTGAGAGGCTGAGGTAGGAGGATCACTTGAGCCCAGGAGTGCAAGGTTGCAGTGAGCTGTGATGGTGCAACTGCACTCCAGCCTGCGTGACAGAGCAAAACTCTGTCTCTAAAAAAAAAGGGGGAGGGGGAAGAAAAAGAATAGTTCGTAAGAGGATTTAATAGCATCCCATGATAATAAGGCGGATTAGTTCTATAATTTAGAAATACTGGGTTGTTTTGACTAAAGGACTTCTAATTTGACTCCTTAAGGGAGCAGATAATCCCTTTAGGAATCATAATAGGTCCAGAATGGAAGACAAAGAAAAGTTAGGAATGTTTCAACATTGTTCTAAGCTCATTAAATCTGGAAAAAAAAACTTCCTTTACATTCCCTCTACAATGGCAGAGAGAGACTTTCTCTCACTGACATGAGGTCATGAAACTAGGTGTATGCATTTGGACTTACACATCAGGGTATATTCTACCTCAAATAAAGGCAAGAGAAGAAAATGGAGGATAGAGTAATTCTTACCCACCCTTCCCAGTGTATTCTCTACTTAAAAGGATCTAAAAGAGTGTTGAGGTGAGAAGAAAAATGGAGAGTTTTTTATATTAGACCTCCTTAACCACCTGGCCTCAGAAGTCTGCCACAGAGCCAGATCTGGGAAAGGTCAAATATGACTGGGTCCAAAAAGGAGGTACTTACCATTGCCTGTATCCTGCACCTCCTCAATACCTATGCAACAAAGCAATTATGCTATTTTCTGAAAATCCTAATGCCGATTTACCCAAGTTTACTTATTAAGAGTTTTTTGATACTGATTAATTTTCATCCAATATGTATAAAATACAAAGCAACAGACTGTCATCGAAAGGAATTTTCATAAATCACATTAAAAATATTTCTTAGTAATTTGTTTAATGAATTCAAACTTTTTACTTAATAGCATTTGAGCGAAATACAATGAAGACACATGAAAATTACTTTTTAAATCAGGCCAGGAAAAACATTTTGATGGTGTAATCTTTTTAAAGCACTTTATTAAGATGTTTCTCACAAACTAAAGGAAACTAGGGGAAAACTTATTTACTAGTAAGAGAAAAATTCTTATTTTACAACACAAGTGAAAAGCACCAAAGAGAATGTGGCATCATAACTCTGAACTCCAGAGTTCCCTGTTTCCAGTTCTTTTAATTCACACTGTAACACGCTACTCAAAGCTTTCACACAGATACTTACATATCCCATCAAACACAAATCTTTCCTTGTAAATACACAGATTAAGATTAAATATAAAATGCCATCTTTTTAGAAATGAGTACCAAAGCAGATTAGAACACAAATGTTACCAACTGAAGAACCAGTAATTCCTTTTTTACTTCAGATGGCATCAAATGTTCAACAATATTTTAAAGACTTTTCTATACAGGCTAAGATACAGCCTATTTTTCTTTTATGAGAGAAATGTACGTACAGTACCCTTGATTATACCCCTGCAAATGGGGCATTTTCTTAGAGAAGGGGCACATTCCTGGCACACTACCAGATGACCACAGGGAATAAATACAATGGAAACTTCTTTGTCCATACACACTTTACAAGTTCTTTCTTCTTGCAGCCTTCTCAATTGTTCTTCCAGTGACAGTCCTAATAACACAAAATAACTTTTGTGAAATTCAGTTTCCATTTTATATCCCATAAAAAAAAAAAAAGGTAATTTTTCATGTTGGTTTTAAGTCTTAATTTTGTCTTACCTGAAACATCTTCTGATGGAATATACTTCATATTCTTATCCACTGAGGAAAGAAAACAAACATACAAAAAGCATCACTCTACTAAATACAAACTGCTTCACCTATTGTTTTTTCACCCGCTACCTATTAAATGATGTAGATTCTAGCTATATATTATCATTGTTACATGTAGACATACACTTGGGTAATAAAAGACTTCACTTTTTTGGAACAACTGAAATGTATATAGTTTGTTAAATAATTTGCCCAAGAAACTCACCAAATAAGTTCTTATGTAATGTAGAGTCAATTTCTTTTAGACAGTTTTTGAAGATGTTGGCTGCAGCATTTCCTTTAACTAAAATGGTATCAATCAGTTCTCTTGCTTGTAAAGGTATCTGTGTTTTTTGTTTAATAATATCGTGTTCCTGTTTATTAATTACATTGGCCTTTAAAAGATTATCCAGGATTGGAAGCACACACGTCAACTGTTGAAAGAGGGCCATTCTATTCTTCCGAATTAATGACAAGTCATCTTCATTTAAAAAAAAAAAAAGGGAAAAAAATCCATTAGATTTTAAACTCCTTCAACTATATTCATATAGTCACTAACAACCCTACAAACAATTTAGGCACTAAATAAATAGAGCTCAAAGAAGAACAAAATAACTTGTCTGCATTTTAATATCTGTCATTTAGAAAACTTCCAGAAGATTTAGCTAAGATATACAGTACATACGGGATCTCTGTTTCTATAATTTTTAAGTCTATATATTCACATGTCCTAGAACCTTGCTTTTTCTTTATTCTGTTGAAAGTAAGAAGAAAATTTTAGAAGACAGTAAAAATTTCCCAACTCTATATTCACTCCCGACCCATGGAACTAAAAATACTGACTTCTATTTACATTATATCACTTTACGTTTATAAGTACTTTCATCTTATTTGATACAAAGATCCTGTCAATGAAACAAGGTAATTGACTGCCCCCAGATAGGGAAAAAAAGACTCAGAAAAAAAAATAAGTGACCTGTCCAAAGTCACAGATAGAGTTACAGAACTAGGTCTCCTAGACCAGTATTCTTCTCGACACTCCATACTTAAGAAGTAGTAGTATGCTTGGGCTGTGAGGTCAAGACAGACCAAGTTTCCCATGGTGGCCTAGCCACATACTAGCTATGTGCCCTAATCTCCCTCCATACTACTCAGTTTCATCTGCAAAATATACATAATAACAGTACCTTCTGCAGAGCTGTAAAGATTAAACAATACATGTAAACCATTAGCACAATATGTGGCACATAGTTCATTATTATTATATTTTATAAATGTCTAGGTTTATAATAATTTTTTTAAAACTACATATGAGTCGAGCCTGCTTGTGCTTAAAAAGCAAATGTTTTTCCTTCACTCTCACATCACCTAAAATTCCATAGTTAATTTACATTTATGGAATATGGCTGTTCCTTCTTTTGGTGCTTTAATCACTATAAAATTTAACTGCCCATTTTCAAAATACACTTTCCAAAAAATTTTCAGAAGTACACCTCTATAAGGTACAAGTTTAATGAGAAATAAATTATAAAAAGAGAAGTCTATTTTCCTTCCCCATTTACTTCTTTGTAGCAAGTAAACTGCTCTATTCATCTCCAAACTACAAAATTCCCTTCTCTGACCAGAACTTATCCTTCTACCTTAATTCTCCTCACTGCTAACAAATTTGTTCCTTCACCTTTTCAAGATGTCCGTGTCATTCCCAATTCTACTAGCACAAGAGCTGTCTCCTGGCTTTGCTTCAAACCTCGCATTCTAATCTAGGTATCAGTCAGGTGTTTCAATGATGTTCTCTTATTAGCACCCTTAACTCGTCCCCTCCCTATTCCTTATTTGGCCTTTTCCCTAATAACTCTGCCAAATCCATAATTCAAGACTATTCTCTGGCTCCCACAAAGTAGAAGAAAGTCACAAAACTAAGGTGACTAGATTTATTACAGTGATTTCATATAACCTTAGCTGGGTTTCATTACTGCTTAACAACCCTTAAATCTTTTCATTTTTCTGAGGCCCTTTTTTCACCAAGTCCCTCCCACTTCCCAAATCAATCTACTTAATGATAAAAAAATTTTTTTCATGTGCTAGGCACTGTGCTAAAGTGTTTTACTTACAACATCTCATTTAATTCCTACAGCAACCCCACAGGATTAGTACTATTTTACAGATAAGAAAGCAAAGAAGTATCTTCCAACCCAATGTCTCAATTTATACTACATATGCAACCTTCACCTCTCTCTGGCTCTTTAACCCTGTCTTTTAAATACTAGCCTCCCCAGCTAATCTACATGCTCCCTGAGAGCAATCACTATGATTAGCACAGTTATTTGGCACTGGTGCTCATGCTCAATAAATATTTCTTGAAGGAAAAAACGACTACTCAAAATACTTGGTTTGGGAGGCTGAGGCTTAATACAATCCGATGAATACCAAAATCAGTTTTCCCCACTATCCTTAGGTTGGGCAGGGGATTCTCGTCAAGCCCTAGGATTTCATCATAAGTTCTATTTTTTGTATTTTTGTATAAGGATCACCTCGCAAAGATTGGGGAGTAAAATACATTAAGAATATGATTTGTAGAAACTTTTAAAAAAAAACAGGAGTAAGACCTGCACCCAAGTTTAAAATCTTGCTTTTTCATAACAATTTAAATTTGTTATATATGAGGAAGAAATTCAATATATCTCAAGAAAAGAGCTTATTATGCTAAAATTCTCTGACTAGCATAAATTAGGGAATCTTATCAGAAAATAAACATATAGAAAAAAGCAGTAGTCAATGGTTCTCAACGAGGCACAGTTGAGAGGGGCGGAAAAGAAGTACGGCTTGGAAATGACTTGGGGGCTCCCAACAGCAGTTAGTGGATGTGAGACAAGGAGGCTGTCCTGTAACATGTGAGACAGTCCTAGGAGCTCCACTAAGAAATAATGTGACTAACATTCCCAAATACCTGATGCCATTTCTTCAGCTTGTCTTTCCTTTTCCTCTTCTCTTTTCTCATCTTCAGCATTAAGAAGTGCTGCTACAATATCACTAACTGTTTTGTAGTTCTCTCCAGTTGTCAGGATTTTACTCTGAACTGTCTGCTTTACCAAGCTTCTACTAAAGCCCATTTCCAAGGCAGACTGAACCACAGGTGTATTCATCATGACTGCATCTTCTGAAGAACTTTCTCCAGATCCGAAATGAACAACTATTTAAAAAGATATTTGCTAATATTAAATTCCACAAATATAAAACAATGGAAAAAAAATAATGACTGGCACAATCTTTACTCTCATATCCTGGTAAGGAAGAAGAGCTATATGTATCAATTACTAGTAATTCCAATAAAAGTTTGCACTTGGATAATGGTCAAATGAGAATATAATATGCTGTACTTTTTAAAAATACCACTTCCCTGGCTACACTGTAGACCTACTTATAGAAGAGTCTTTAGGGATCTGTATCTTAAAATTCCCCCAAATGATTCTGATGTACAGTTGTTTCTGGAAACCAATAAGCCACACAAACTTAGAAGTGAGAAATGATCTTCTCCAGCCAGGAAAAGTGAGAGAAATCACAGACTTCATGGAAAAGTGGCATTACAGTTTGGACTTGAAGAATGGACAGGGTCTAGATAGGTAGACAGCTGAGGTAGACAGAATAACATAAACAAAGATGGGAGATATAGTAAAATGGAAAACTGGCTCACCCAAAAGATATAGTGAAAAATACACAGTGAAAAAATACAAAATAAAGTAATATGATATTTTAGATAGTGACAGATGCTCTAAAGAAAAAAGATGTGTAAGGTGATTAAAAGAAACGAGGAGTCAGGCAGACATCTTAGGCAGGGTAGTCAGGGAAGCATTTTCTGCTAAAAGAGTCAATACTCCAGCCTGAGCAAGAGTGAGACCCCGTCTCTACTAAAAATAGAAAGAAATTGGCCAAACAACTAAAAATAGAAAAAATTAGCCGGGCATGGTGGCGCATGCCTGTAGTCCCAGCTACTTGGGAGGCTGAGGCAGGAGGATTGCTTGAGCCCAGGAGTTTGAGGTTGCTGTGAGCTAGGCTGACGCCACGGCACAAGAGAGTGAGACCCTGTCTCAAAAAAAAAAAAAAAAAAGAGTCAATGCTAGCTCATTTGGTACTTTTGTGAAAAATACAGAAAGACGTAATTCTGTGAGACATTTTATTGCCATCTGCTGGAAAACTGTTATAATAAACATATAAATACATGATGTCATCAATGTGTACTGCACTCCCTTGCTCAAACACATGTGGAATCCCTGTCTGAAAAGATAACACCAGAACAAAGATATGAATAAGAAGAAATGAGCTATAGGAATACTTGAAAGAAGTCTTCCAGGCCAAGAGAATAGTAAGTGTTAAAGCCTTAAATCAAGGGAAAAGTTTGACATGATAAAGAAACAGAAAGAAGGTGGTAGAAGGCTTATTATTTGCACCTCTCGTTAGCATTGTTTTGACCTATTTGTTGCTTCTCTTGCACGCATCTTGTCTCCCCAGTTGGAATGTCAACACTTTAAGAACAAAGACTAGTATACTTCCTAGAATCCTCTAAAATGTCATTAATCTTAGTAGATATATAGTATTAGATAACTTTCCAGTATTCTTCCTTATGGCTTCAAAACCACCTTTTTAAAATACATATTTTTGTTCCTAAAATTCTTATAAAAATTTCCATTTTATATTTGAAATTTTTTCATACATACTTGGTGGATCAGCATTTTCATCTCCAGGAGTGTCTGAAGTTGACAATAGCTATAAAACAAGAGAAAAGTTAATAGGTAAAATCAGAAACCTCAATCTGAACACAGAAATACTAAGTTAAGTTTACCTTAAGTAAATGTACATACTCTTTTGAAAACTAGGTAATTTATATACTTCACTTTGTTTTGTTTTATCCTAATTATCACATAGATTTCTTTAAACTTCACCTTATTCCAAATTAGAATTCAAGGGTTTCTCCAGATTCAGGAAGTAGAAAAATGTATTAATGGTTTCTCCTTCCATTTAGAAAGTAAGATTTCAATTGGGTTACTCTCAAAGGCTCTCAACCCCTAACAAGTTACTTTTTGTTTTTCTGGAAAAGAGCGAAGAGACACTAAACTTCCTTCTCCAGCCTACCGCAAATTTGTATAGTGGCACAATGAATGATTTTTCAAAAAACTAAAAACAAAATACAATCTTTTTTAAAGCCCTGAATAAACAAGTTGGTTACAAAAGTAAAAATAAGAGGTGTCATTAATATGGATAGAAAATATGTAATTATAATTAACAAATATAACTTCTAATATTTTTGCAATTATAAAGCAGAATTCAATGTTGTTAATCTTTAAAATGTATTTACCTGTTCAAGAAGATGAGGATATCTAGCTTGAATTTCATCAACAAACCCCTGCCCTTTCATTCGTATCAAGAACTCACACCTAAAACGTAAGATAATTACTTTAAAAATTGTTTCATACCAAAAATATAACATGATCATTCAAAATCACTTTCAAACCTTTTTGATTGTACCCCATAATAAAAACATTTTACACCACAACCCAGTATACACACATATTTAACAGGAAAAAAATTATCATAAAAACAATATACATTCTTACTATGTGTTGCATTCTGATTTAACACAACAAAAACAACCAAAAAGAAAAGAGCCTCGAGCTGGAAAAGGGTACAAGCTAATGCTTGAAAAACGCTATTAAACACAATTTACTTTGTGGGCTGAACACAATTTCAGAAACTATAACTAAGTATTCCTAAAACATGATCTATCTTTCACAATATAATAACTTTGAACTTTCTCCAATGTTTACTCTTCCATTACATTTGAAACACAATTCACTACCCTCCCTCCAAAAAACACAGAATCAAATATTTTCATCTATACATAATGTAAGTGTTTTTCAAATATTTGTTTTTAAACTACTAGGGCTTCTCAAAGATGTTCCAGGAAGTACACATACCATCTGTTTCCATTGTATACCTTTTGTTTCATCAACAAATGGTAGTAGGCTGGGTGTGGTGGCTCATGCCTGTAATCCCAGCACTCTGGGAGGCCGAAGCAGGAGGATCGCTTGAGGTCAGGAGTTCAAGACCAGCCTGAGCAGAAGCGAGACACCTCCCCCGCCATCTCTACTAAAAATAGAAAAAATTAGCCAGGCGCAGTGGCGCATGCCTGCAGTCCCAGTTACTCAGGAGGCCAAGGCAGGAGGATTGCTTGAGCCCACAAGTTTGAAGTTGCTGTGAGCTAGGCTGACACCATGGCACTCTAACCCAGGCAACACAGAGAGACTCTGTGTCAAAAAAACCAAAAAAAACAAAAAACAAAAAAACAAATGGTAGTAGACAACTGGATATCCATATGCAAAAATGAACAAGAACCTTAACCTATGCCCATAACTAAACTAAGAATGAATCATGTACCTAAATGTAAAACCTAAAACAATAAAAATTCTAGAAGACAGGAGACAAATCCTTTTGTCTTTATGTTAGGCAAAGAATTCTTAGATAAGAAGCCAAAAACATAATCCATAAAAGATAAAATTGATACACTGACATCAAAATTAAAAACATCTGTTGCACAAAAGATACTGCCAAAGAAATAAAAAGACAAGCTACAGACTGAAAGAAAATTTGCAAAAGTGACATCAGCAAGATGGCAGAGTAGAAGGCACCTGCCTTCTTCCATCCACAAAAGAAGAGACACCTATCCACGAACAAAAATAGCCCTGGGAGAACTCAATAATCCAATTAACCTATAGCAATACAGTGAAACAAAAAAAGAATAATCACACTGGGGAGATCTGCTTAGCAGAGATGTGTGGAAATGGCTAAGAACAAAGAGGGTATCTGTATCAGCCAAGTGGTAAGTGCCATCACAACCCCCAGGGGCCTGCTCTGGGGAAGACCCCAGCAGACTTTGCCACTGAGGACCTCAAAAGCCTCTGAGATAGCCATAGACTTTCTGAAGGTTTCATAGTCAAAGATCCTATGGATCATTGGTACTGACCCCAGCAGCTATACTCTGAAGAGGACACTGACAGCTTTGACCACTAAGGATGCTGCTGCACCCTCCCCCTGAAAAGGAGCAGCTCTTGCACCACCCAGGGACAGAGCAGCCCCCACCCCTCACCTCTACACATGCTCTAGACTCAAAGCCACAGCTGCTACACGTGTACCAACACGTAAGACCCCCTGCTCCATGGCTGCTCTCCCTGTACACACTCAGATTCCAGCTCCACAGCTGCTCGGTACACGTGTATGCTCCAGACCTAGCTGTGTGTGTACCCGTATCTCAGGCACCAGAAGCACCACTGCTACAGGCTAACCAGCACCCCAGACCCCAGAGCCACTATCTCTCTACAGGTACTACACTCTGAACCTTGACTCTGTGGCTGCTCCACAGGCATCCATGCATCAGACACCAGTGCCACCACCATGAGGGCACCAACAAGCCGGAACCAGCACCAAGAGGGATCCCCTTGGCCATGACATCTCCTATGGGGGGGGTGGGGGAGGAATCAAGAGGTCCCCAGCAGCCTTTGCCGCCAAAAACCCAAAACCCCTAACTGTTAATGTGAACACCCGCAGCACTGGATGTTGAGAATCCCTGCAATCCTCGCTGACAATGACCTGAGCTAACAGAGCCGCATCTCTACTCTATGGAGACAGAACCACCACACCCCTACCAATCAACACCCTCACACCCACCCACAAGCAAAGATCTTTCCCAAACAAAACCAGTTCATAAAGTCTTGAAGGGGTAACAGTTCCATCAAATGCACAGATATCAACACAAGACTACAAGAAATAGGGAAAGGGAAAAGAAAAAAGAAAAAAGAAACACGAAACCGCCAAAGGAACACAATAATTTTTCAGTAGTCAACCCCAAAGAAGGGGAGATTTATGAACTGCCAGATAAAGAATTCAAAATAATTGTTTCAAGTAAGCTCAACAACCTACAAAAGAACACAGAATGAAATCAGGAAAATAATACATAAAATGAGAAGTTCAATAGAGAGAGGGAAATCATAAAAAGGACCAAAAAGAGAAGTTCAAAAGCTAAAGAATATAATGAAGGCAACAGAAAGCATCAACAGCAGACTTGATCAAGCAAAAGAATGAATCTGGGAACTCAAAGACAGGTCATTTAAAACTATCCAGTCAGAGGAGGGGAAAAAAACAGTGAAGAAAAGCCTACACAAATTATAGGATACCATCAAGCAAACCAATATTTGCATTATAAGATTTCAAGGAGGAGAAGAGAAAAAGAAAACATAAAAGGCTTATTTAAAGAAACAATGGCTAAAAACTTTACAAATCCAGAGAGACAGAGACATCCAGGTAAAGGAAGTTCATAGGACCCCATACAGATTCAATCCAAAGAGGACTTCACTGAAGCACATTATAATAAAACTGTCAAAAATAGAAGATAAAAAGAGAACATTAAAAAGAGCAAGTGAAAAGAAACTCATCTCATACAAGGGAACTCCCATAAGACTATATCAGTGGATTTCTCAGCAAAAACCTTACAGGCCAGAGGGAGGCTGAGGTGGAGGATTGCTTGAACCCAGAAGTTCAAGGCTGCAGTGATTACAATCATGCCACTGCACTCCATCCTGGGCAACAGAGCAAGGGTCTCTAAAAAAGAAAAAAAGAAAAAGAAAAAGAAAAAAACCTTGCAGGTCAGGAGAGAGCTGGATGATATAATATGCAAAGTGCTGAAAGAAAGAAACTGCCAAACAGGAATACTTTACCCAGCAAAGCTGTCCTTCAGAAACGAAGGCGAGATAAACACTTTCCCAGACAAACAAAAGCTGAGGGAGTTCATCACCACTAGACCTGACTTATACAAAATGCTGAAGAGTTCAAGCTGAAATAAAAGGAAACTAATTAGTTACATGAAAACATATTAAAGTATAAAACTCTTTGGTAAAGATAATATATAATCAAATTCAGAATACTCTAAATTTGTAATGGTGGTGTATAAACTTTAATATAAAAGTTAAAAGAAAAAAGTATTAAAAATAACTATAGTTACAACAATTTCTTCATGGATACATAAAAAGATGTAAATACTGACATCAAAAACAAAATGGGGGGGTCAGAGTAAAAAAGAGTTTTTGTATGCAATTGAAATCAAGTTGTTAGCAGCTCAGTTGTTGTAAGATGTTCTATGTAAGTCACATGGTAATGACAAAGTAAAAACCAACAGGAGATCCACAAAAGGATACCACTACAGAAAATCATCTAATCACAAAGACAGCAAGAGAGAAAGAATAGAACAAAGGGTTTACAAAACAACCAGAAAACATCAACAAAATGACAGTAGTAAGCCCTTACCTGTCAATAATTACCTTGATTGTAAATGGTTTAAATTCTCCACTTGAAAAACATACAGTAGTCCATTCAGACTAAAAAACAAGACCCAACTGCATGCTGCCTACAAGAGACTCAATTCACCATTAAGGAAACACATAGTATGAAAATGAAGAGATAGAAAAGATATTCCACACAAATGGAAACCAAAAGAGAGCAGAGGAACCTATAAGTTCCTCTAAGTATAGAGGAACCTATACTTAGATAAAATAGACTTTAAATCAAAGGGTATACATAGAAACAAAGCCCATAAAAGGATATGACAATTGTAAATATATATGGCACCCAAAATCAGACCACCTAAAATAAATACATAAAAAAAAATATTAACAGATCTGAAGACAGAAATAGACAGCAACGTAATAATAGTAGTGGACTTCAATACTCCACTTTCAACAGAAAAAAAGACAGAAAATAAGGAAATATTGGACTCGAATGACACATTAGACCAAATGGACCTAACAGATATATAGGCTGAGTATATCCCTTAACTGAAATGCTTGGGACCAGAGTGTTTTGAATTTTAAATTTTTTCAGATTTTGGAATATTTGCATTATACTTGCCAGCTGAGCATCCCTAGTCTGAAATCTAAAACCCAAAGTGTTCCATGAGTATTTCCTTTGACCATCATATCAGCACGCAAAAAGTTTCCAATTTTAGAGCATTTCAGATTTTGAATATTTGGATTAGGGATACTCAACCTTTATATACAACATTCCATCCAACAGCAGCAAAGTACATATTCCTCTCAAGCACACATGAAAAATTCTTCAGGATAGATCATATGTTAAGTTACAAAACAAGACTCAATAAATTCATGAAGACTAAAATTATATCAAGTATCTTTTCAGACCACAATGGTATGGAATTAGAAATCAGTAACAGGACAAAAGCTGGAAAACTGACAAATATGTGGAAATTAAACAACACATTCTGAAGAATCAATGAGTCAAAGAAGAAATCAAAAGGCAAATAAAGAAAAATCTAAGGAAAGTGAAACACAACAAACCAAAACTTACAGGATGTAACAAAAGCAGCTCTAAG